TGTTGATTGAAGGATTGGTTGGCAGCAGGATGCAAATGAGGGGGGCAATGCGGTCCTCCACTTGATTGGTCTGGGGTGGTTACTGGGAAGACGTGCTCAAAGAGACTTGATTTAGGTTGGGGCTTTCACGGAGAGTGCGTGATGTGTTGAAAGCAATTTATTATGAAGGTTGAATCTGTCGTCTTGTTAAAGTCAAAGATCATACTTGGCATAGGTGGTCTGCCATGTGTGGCACACACTGGTTGTCAGTGTGTTAGGACTGAAGGATTGCATCCGGTCAAGTTGTTGACAAATGAACGAGAGGATGGATGGATGGGAGGGCGGACGGATAAATAATATCTGGATTGAGGTAGCAGCTACAGTGGGGTGTTGGAAACTCCTTGGGAAGACTCAGGGACGCTGCTGGGAAGGCTCAGGGAAGGGAACAGGGGGCGAGAGCAGTCCCAGAGGATCTGTAAGAGTTCATGCTCACGGAGGAGACAAGAGTTCATGCTCTCGAAGATGACAGTTGATGCTCTTGAGGGAGATTTCTTTCAGATGTGCTTATTTACGCACTTGGTGCTTTGTCCCCATCTCATTCCTCTGGAGGTTTTCCTTTGGGTGTATTTCTCTGAGTAATGCTCATTGTTTGGGTCCTCGACAGGCGGCTTGTGAAGGCGCGGAAGTGAATCGTGCCTATTATTTTCTATTTGAACTGTTTGTGTTTTTGCGACCTCTCTTTTTCTTATTTGTTTCGAGTTCTCTCATGGACTTTCTGCTGTGCTGGTGTGAAAACGTTCGTCTGTTAATCATGCTTTCGAAAGGGCAATGACTACTTGGAAGCCTGAACTATGCTCTTATTGAAGAGCTCAATCTCAAAAAAAGAGCTCTTGAACCCTAATCACGGTGCGTGCGATCGACCCTCTTTTTTTCTTCTTCTTTTTTTTTCCCTTTTTCGTATGTGAGAAAGGTGCAGAGGAAAAGGGAGCTTTTTTTTTTTTTTTTTTTTTTTTTTAACACGTGGGCCCAGTGCCCAAGGCTCAAATTACAAATTGAAATACAACGCAAGCACACGCCTCTTCCCATTAGGGCTGGAAGAGCCTCGGCCACTGCTCCCGCAGAAACAGCTTCCCTAGTCAACGAGAATAGAGCATGGGCACTGAGCATTGATTGCTTCCCCTGAAGGGAAGGATTAACCCAGTCCCATTGACAACCAAATTCTGCCCTACTATAGCAAACCGCCAAACCCTACAAATCAAAAACACGGGGGGGGGATTATAGCAGGGCAAAAGTAAGTCGAGCACATCCTGGGTCTCAGTCAAAACCCTAAGTGGATATGCCCAACAGTTAACACGATCCTTGAGATGAAATGAACTTGAAGCAAATCAAGAAAGGAAGAATTCAGCATACAAGTTGTGTGAGAGTCACAGTTCCCGCAAGGGGTAGGTTCCCCGGTCCACAGTAACACGGGGAAATCACCCGTTCAAAACACCACCCAGACTCGATGAATGAAGAGACAAAATGCCACCCACGGGATCAACAATTCCGTCTCCTGACCTACCCCCATCAGTAGCCACACAGGGGACCACGTGACCGCTCATTTCCAACCGATGACACAACCGCAGTGGAGAATATCATCGTTACTGTTGTCGATGAAGTCGATAATGGATCAGTTCATGAGATGTCGTCGTGATACCCACTGGATCGTCGGACGGAGCAGCAAACACTCCTGGTGTTATTGTGAACGAACTTGATACTAATGGATTTCAAGAGATGTCTTCGTAATGCCCAACAGATCTATTGTTGGGGTAGGTAGCACTCCTGGTGTGTTTGATATCCTCATTACTGTGGACACCGGCGCATCCATCCCAATTAAGGATGTTGAAACTCGAGCGGTAGTTAAAAGATAGGGGCAACGGCTCGTGGGTCACAACCCACGTTTTGAATGGGCAAAAAAAACAGTCGTCCGCAGGTCTGTCCCGACCGGAGTTCAAAACGGCAATAATAACAGTGGCCCGCATTATACACATGGTGCCTGTTCGAAACAGGCACTTTTGTCTTCTTCTTCTTCTTCTTCTTCTTCTTCTTCTT